TGAAGCTCTGACAGAGTGACCATCGGGTCCCTGACTGAGGCCCTTCGACCCTGATTGCTCAATTCAGATGGGCGGGCAGTTCGAGGAAGAGTCAGGCTGATTCGAAACTCCTTCCATTTACGGATGACGGGAGCCGCCATGCTCATTGGAAGCTTGAAAGTAGCAGAAAATGGTTGTTTCTTGCTGAAGCACTGTATATACTGCACACTCTATAAATGGTGGTTCAGAGTCTCAATATCAGCGACATTTGTTCCTTAGGCTCTTCGTCGTGATACTGAAGTGGATTGTGGCTGTGAGGTGATACCAGGTGGACAAAATAAAGTACAAAATGTCACAGTCCTTAAAAACAAGGCTCCCAAAACAGTCTATTAAATATCCTGGTCTAAATTCCTTCTTCAGAATTTTGGCTTTTTGTTGTGTTCACAGCTTGGAAAGTATAGAGCTTCTTCACTGTATTGTAAGCTTGTTGCATTTATTCAGATAACCCGTTTATTTGAGTGCAAATGGGGGGTGGGGCGGGTGGAGAGGAGATTTTTCATCTCGAAACAATAACACAAGGTAGAAAGCACAACTGATTTTGACGCTTGGGAGAAATAAATCCTGAGGAGGAGAAAAAAAAAAATGCAGTTGGGCGAGAGCTGAAGCAAGATGAGAGCTGCAATCAGAACAATAAAAAGCAAAACTGCGCCATTTCGGTGAAGTGTTCCAGGCTGCTAATCTGCAGACGGGAGGAAGATCTGTCAGAACGAAAAGCCCAGCATCATGACGCATTTCCACCAGCCACATGTCCCCCTAGCCGCGGGCCAGCACCCAGCAGGGCTGGAGGTGGTGGTTGCGCTGTCCATATGTATGCAAGAGAGCAGCAGGGTGAGCTCGCGAGGGGCGCCAGCGTGGCCCTTCCTCCTCCGGGGCTGAGCCAGGCCATACTGACGCCTGTGGGCAAGAAAGGAGGTGGGTGGCGCCTGCTCTCCAAAGACTGGGGTGCAATGAACGTGACATGCTGATTGGGGGGAAGGTTCACAAATGCGCCCTCAGCATGAGCTTTCCTAGCCTGTGAGTTTTAAAACGCTGGTGGCAACGAGCAGATCCGGGCATATCTGCTGCTTGCCCCCAGGCTGCGGGCATCTTAATTGGAGTGCGTCACATTGGGGGTTGCGCCATCGGTTTAATAGGGCCATATTATGGAAAATGGACTTTTTAATTGTTTACATCCAAATAGTTGGGACTCCGGTGTGTCTGTACACCCATAAAGTGAGAAATTACACAACCAATTAAATGTGAGCAGCCTATTTTCTTTGAACTGCTCTGAACTGTGATATCACAGATGGGCTATTTATTTATTTATGTATTTATTTATTTATTTTCCATCCATCGTACCACCATGACGAGGTTAGTCCAGACTTATTGTTTGATGCAGATGAAAATTTATGTTTTGCATTGGGCTGATTCATCCACAAAAAAAAAAAAAAACGTCAAAATGCACACGTTTGCCCTCACTCACTCATCACATGAGTTGAATTCTTTTTGTCATTCTCGAACAGCGCTGCAACATACCCGGTTGTCGCAGTGATAACGTGTCATAATACAGCAGATACAAGACAGAGCATTGGAACCATTAGAATAACAGAGCTGTAATAGACGCAGATTACACAGGATTTACCACGGCACAACACAGCCATATGCTAGGGAGCCCGTGTGGACTAACAATGCGAGAGGAGCTTCGCCTACACGGCATGCTCGACAGTCAGCACTATGATTGTTCACAGGAACGTTTTCGTTTGAATAATAAAGATGCCCCACATTCAACTGGGCAAACGCATCCTCTCGTCACAAATAAAAAAAAAAAAACTCCACTCCAAGCTGCGTCTTCAGCCACGATGTTTTGGTTAATAATTGGGTTTGCGCTTGACTTACTGTGACAGAAAAGTGTCAAAATATTTGCGACTCTCATTATATCAGCATTAAAAAGAGTCGGTGTAGCAGTTAATTACTAACCAGTGGTGATAACCACCTGTTTCAACATACAGATGGGAATTCCTTTCAGATGACTCCGTGACGGATCGGCAGCGCGGCATACAATAGATAGTCCTATGGTGCTACAATTTATGTAAATAAGGGGAACAGATAAGGAGAGATGGATGCAATTTAGCTCTATGCACTCGAGATTTGACTGGAGTGCACCACGGGTCACGTGCCTGGCATTTGCACGCGCCAGCGTTCGCTCAAGAAGTATTAAGCACATTAGTGTACATACTTGGACACATCAACACACTCCCGTACATAATTACCTGTCAAATGCTGCGCAAGATGTGACTTTCTCACAGTAAATAACATCATTAATATTCATACTGAAAGAATGGGGGTGGTGGAAGCCACGAGCGACTGGTGGCTTTCCTTTTTTTTTTTCACGACACGAGGTCAGCGGCGTATCTGAAGCTCACTTGGAACTTCGATTTAGTCCCCCATCGTTCTCATTCATCATGAAGTAAGTGGCTTTGTAACATCGACTGACAGACAAACTAACTCAACTCGTTTCTGTGAATGGTTCCTTTTGCGGACGTGACGCTACGGTCACGTGATTGGAAATCCGGGCCGATGACGTGTTTTCAGCGTATCCGTTATCGGGTGGAACAGATATTTTAAAAAAACAAACATTTAAAGGTCATTGTGGTGTCTTGAATGACGAAGCAGACACATGCGTTTTCTATTGCTTATATTCGACCGTGAGTTCAACATCAGCAACGTGCGGAAGAGCCTTAAAACATTAACATATCACGCATGCGCAGTCGATGGCGATGCCCGGTACGGGAAGGCAATGCATCCAAAAAACATACAAACAACTATAGTGGTCAATACACCACAGTCATGAAGCTACAAAACATTACAAACGTGCACATATCTCACCAAATAGAACATCCGTAGCTTCGTGTTATAGTACACAATGTCGCGGGGGGGGGGGGGTTGTTTGTTTTTTGTCGCGTTACAGTTAGTGTGACACGAACAAACCCACAGACGCGTCTCCTCCGCTTCGCGCAGCTCTCCCGCGGGCGTTACAGAGCGGTGGGTGTCTTCAGAGGTTGCTTGGAGCGTGAGCAAAGACGCAAGTTGCTCCTAAATCAGTTTGCCTTGCCTGAGACAAAGAAACCTTCCGGGCATCGTCAAAGAGTTGCGAGAACTGACGGTGCGACGGATCGGTTTGCGATTGTGAAACATGTCCAAACGACATGACTTCAAATCGAAGTTTAACGAGTGTAAATTATTCGCTGGCTTGAGCTTGTTCCCCAGTGGTTGCATTTAACGTGGTCATGAATCAGTTGTGTCATTTGGAGATGAGCGAAGTCATACACCGACGCAACAATTGCGCAGCTGCACGAGCTCTTCATTTAAACCTGCACAAGTTTACAAACAACGATGTAAATTAGATAAATCAATTGTATCAAACAAGAGGAATTCCCCTTTCTATGGTGATGCTTATAATTTGGTTGAATGACCCAAAGGTCATTCAACCAAATTGGTGCCATTTGCGTCCCACAGTCAATTACATAAAAATACATTTTACATACAAGTGTTCTGCACGTTGCTATGTATTGTGTTTAAAGTTAACATCGGTATCGTCAAACAATTAAAACCAAAGACTTGGACTCTGCGCCAAACAAACTTTGTCTAGGTCGATAACATGTCAATTTAATTTTTATCTGTATGGTAACATTGCATTCAGGGGGTTCATGTTTGACCTGGCGTTCACTCAAATCAACCGAACTAGACCTTAGGGGCGAGATGACTGCAAGCCTCGGTCTTCACGTAAAAAGCACTTAAAATCCACTCCTCTACCAGACTCCTTATTTCTCATCATTTGCTCAAACTACAATTCCTCCTCATTTCACAACTTCCCATCACAGTCTCACTGCGTTGGCAGCTTCCTGTCCACGCTCCCTCTGTGCCTAAATTGAGTGGATTTTTGTCAAGTTGATGGTGGCTGTGCGGCACCTTGGTCCTCATAAACAGGCATCTAATGGGGTCTTGGGGATGCTGAGGGGCCTCACATTAAGATAATTAGGCAGGGAGAGGGTGCGGGAAAGAGGCCCTGGAGAAAAAGACGAGACACTGCTGAACAGTGTGACATACTGCCTTGTTACGTTATGTCTTGCTTTTGCCTGGTAGTCTTCTTAAAGGGTAGTTTATCTTATAACTTTGTCTATTTTTTTTGTCAAGTAGTCGCGCACACAATAAAATCACTTGGATCAAGGTCCAATCAGACTATACATCAAGTCGATGTACTGTATCGTCTGATTGAGTAAATTCAACACCCCACTTTTTTTGCATTGGAATAGTTGAGTCTCTGTCATAAATCGTTTTATCTATTTGTTGAAGTCAGTCCTGCACCCCACTGTGATGTAACAGTGGGGCTAATTTGCATATTAACTACCCCAACACCAGGTTTCTTGACCAACTCCCCTGTCTGAAACACTATCATTGCAGGACTCTTGTTATCACGTCAAAGCCAAAGAGTAAGCAGAGCTGCGTTATTGATTTTTTTTTCCTTTGATGCGAAGTTCAAGTTTCTTGAAACTGCCACGTACTTAATTGCTCGATGAAAATGTCAACATGGTGGGATCTATTTGGGTTTGGTGATGCGTCCATGTGCCACATAGGCGCAGTGTAGTGTATAAAATTCCAGATGTTTGGGGTGTTTTGATGGAAGCATATCAGACACACTGTATGTCAAGACACCTGGGAACTGTTCTGAATTGTTTAAAAAAAAAAAAAATGGAATAAAAAAATTTTGACTGAACCCTTTCAGGGACAGCTTATCATGTTATCATGTTACGGGGTGCATGAAAAGATTACGACTGTACTTTGTTTGCTTATAGTTTTTCCATGCTATTTTTTTGAAGCTGAGCTTCAAGCAGACAGCGCGACAGTGCAGGCACATCACAGATAGCTTGGTCCTGCGGAGTCATGTTCCCTTTCACAGTCTCTCTTCGCCTCTGTATTTTCAGCCTGCCCTGTGAGTCGGATCTGTAACTGAGGCGCTCGCTTCCGCTCTGACACTCTGCAATCTGATGCAAAGCAGTGAAGGCTCCAGTGACAGCAGGGACACAAAGGTCAGCCTCCTTTTTTTCCTTTTTTTTTTTTAATAGGGAACACCAAGCTTCTTTTTGACAGGTCCGCTTGGTGCATGAAAAGAAAAAGGTAGCACACGCCATAAAAGTGTTCAGACGCAAGGCGCAGATGAAGTATTTTGCAGACGAGGCCTTTTTTCTCACGCCTGTGAAATCTCACAAGCAATTACCTATTAAAATGTTATCTTTCCCCCATCTCGGAATGTTTAGGAAAAGATTATAACTGCTGGGGGAAGATAATTAAGACCGCAAATGGGGAAATTGTATTTTGAATACAGTGCACCGTGCGCATGCAGCGATCTCTTTTGTCTTATTAAAGCTAACTGCGCACCTGAAGCTCTAATGTGAGAGCCCCGATCTCCGATACATCACTGTCAATATTGATTCAAGTGCAAGGGAAATCGCTGCGATGATTCATTCATACTAATGTACAATTACCCTGTTAATTAAATCCGACTGGGATGCATTGCTGGCTTAACCGTTCACCGTAAAGCGCATTGCGGTAATATGTTGAGCGTGTACGGTTGTGCTCATAAGTTGACATACCTGAGGGGAATGTAAACTTGAGTGCACCATATCAACATTGTGCAGTGCAATTTCACTATGGCCCATGAGGTGTGGTTTTTTTGGAGCTTTTCTTGGACACGTTCAAAGCAGTAACCTTTTCGGGGGTGGGCCAATATTCCCACTATGGCCCATGAGGTGTGGTTTTTTTGTAGCTTTTCTTGGACACGTTCAAAAGCAGTAACCTTTTCGGGGGTGGGCCAATATTCCACCTGCCCCCCGTTTTGCAAAAGCATGCATGTCACCTTCATTAAAGACTCTAAAATTGTCCATGGGTGTCGATGTGAATCCGAATGCTTGTTTGTCTGTATCACAGCATTACGGAACCTTTAGAGCAGGGGCGTCAAACTAATTTTTTGTCGCGGGCCACTTCGGACTTACGGCTTTCCTCGGAGGGCCGGCGAAGAATCTCAGTTATTTATTACCCATGACAATTTGACATTTCGGTATGGATTTCAGCAAGAATCATGACAGCTGACGCACATGATTTGCTCCCGCGGGCCACATAAAATCACATGGGAGGCTGGATCTGGCCCCTGGGCCTTGACTTTAACACCTGTGCTTTAGAGGTTCCACTGTACTGACGTTTCACTTGGAGATGAGATCTGATGATTGTTTTGAGTGCAAATAGACCATTTGAAATGTATCCTCTATTGAGTTTAAATTTCCCAAGGGTGGGGGGTGGGGGGGGGTCTGTGCATACACACGTAAGTCCTCAATTGTAAAAGGAAAAAGCCTTCACAGAGCTTCAGAGATGGCTGCTGCCACCAGTGTGGGTGTTTGCCACTAAGATCTTTTTTACTCCACATATTATGCTGTTCCCCTCTCCCCATTCCCACTTCCGCTCTCTCCCCGAGCACCCCCCCCTTTTTTTTTTGTCTCTTCAGCTCTTTGACGCTGAAAGTGAAGCGCTGCAGGATTTTGAGCCTTTGAGGATTCCAACCGACGTTATTGGGTATTGAGACAAAGTCAGGCAGCTAGTCCGTCCAGCTGGGGATATCAAAACAAGAAACTTGTCCATTTTCAGAAGGCTGCCAGAGCCCCTGCAAAAGGCGCAAGAGTGCCCGAAATCACAAATACCTCAGGCCATTGCCCGTACTGATTAATATTGTGTATCTCCCTTTTTGTTGTTAACATGCAATCGTCGTGAAAAGCAATCACAGAACCAGCCAAAGCGTGATTGTTAGCAGTTCTGAGTCCCCATTGACGAATGAATGAATGATCATCAGAAATCTATTCACAGAAAGAAAAAGAAATTGCATTCGTTGACTGACATGCACAAAAGGAATTATTTCCCCGAACGAGGACGGCAACGAGTTGCCAGAGCAGGTCCAATTATGTCAGTAATAAGGTAATCATGCCATAAGCTTTGATCAATATATGCACTCAGAATAGATTTTACAGCACAAACCTGTGCAACATGGGGAACAAATCCCCTTTGTGCAGCGCAAGCGAGTGGCCCATTTAACCTTAGCACTTATCTTTACATTGCAATTACCAACCCTCCATTATCCTCTTCCCTTCTCTTTGCATTCACGCTGACACCGTCGTGCCCCTTTCAGTCTATGCATCATCTGATCATCATTTGAAACAAGAAAAAAATGTGTCTATATCCAGCAAAATCCATACCTAATTCCTCTACAAGCCAGCTTCCCTTCTCTACCCCCGTAATGAATAGTCACTCATGCCAGCGGAAGAAGCCCTGAACCAATCCGGCTGCCTGTCTTCTACTACGGAGGCTTCTTTTTTTTCCTGATCTCAGAGGTTAATAACAGTCCACATGATTACCCGCAAGCTCGAGGATTAGAGGGTTCATAGAGTGTAGATTCCACACTCCAAATAGTAATCGCCATTTCACAGTCGCGTCCACTCAGGTGATAGGCCATTCCACTATCTCATCTCTCCCACTGTGAGGACCAAAAAAAAAAAAAAAAAAGATGCCCACTCACAAAGAGCAAAAGACTGCAAGTGTTGTTATTTATTTATTTATTTTGGGTCGTTTCATAGCAACAATTTAACTAATAGCAACCGATTTATTTTATTTATTTATTTTTGGGGCCAAGTGATGTACTGTCCTTACCGAGTTATTTCCTTGGAATGCCTATTGTGATGCAGCCATTTCTTACACTGAAAAGAACATGATGTTTAAATTTAAAGAAAAGGTCATTTTAATGTATTTATTCGAAATAAAAAACTAAAAACACAGAATTGATGATACTGACAGCAGTCAGTGCTCGGACAAGCCCATAAAAGAACGGTGGTGACTGTCTGTGCTGGCTTGTAGAACATTAAGGAAATGTAACAGCAGGACATAATGAACACTAATCGTATAACTAAGTGGAAGTTGTCGGCCAAACATGAAGAATTGTTGGAGGTTGCTGTTTTAATGACTTACAGCTACTTTGAAGTAGTTGGACTGCTGCATACTAATTGTGCATCATACAAATCCGTTCATATTTGCGTGTTCATTTTGTTTGATCTCGGATGTTAAAACACAATGAGGCTCGGTGGAATAGTAGCCCGCGGGATATGCCAAAAAAAAAAAAAAAATGGATGGCGTTCAGATGCTCTCTGTGAACAACCACCCTTGAAACTCCCAGCCGGTACACCATCTCCCCCTCTCATAGCCGCACACCCACTTTCCTTATTCCAGTGACATCATGCGGTTGTAATGCATCATCCGGTCAATACAAAAATAAATCCAACAAGTATGCGGAAGATAGAAACACGCAGTGGGGGTTAAAAAGCATCATATGAGCGTGTTTCACTATCAAACTTCCTCCAGCATCAAAACATTCACATTCAAGGCTGCACTCAATGAGACCCCTTTTTTTTTTCCTCCCACATACCCCCCAACAAACTTACGAAGGTTCGCACCCCTGGAAACATAGTGCTTGGAATGCATGCCAAGGGTCTCCTCTCCTCGGAACGGCTCACCTGGGCACCCGCCTTGCAGCACACTGGCAACCGCCCTGTAAAACATTGGAAGGACATAATAAAAAAAAGGTGATAGAACCATGCCGCATTATTTCACCTTTTCGTGCACCTATTTGTTATTAATAAACGTTTGGATTCATACTTTCATATACAGTAGCACTTGCTTCGGACAGTATGTGTTCAAATCCCCCATGGACGTGTGTTTATGTGTGTAATTTGATTATTCAGCTGAACTGCACGAGGCCTTATACGAAGCAGCATCTTTCTACACGATTGGTTGCATCGCCGGTGCAAGATTGACACAACTACTTCGTTCAAATTCATTTACGCTGTTTTCCTCCCCCCGATCATTGCACATGCTACGGTTAAGCTCCAATGAGAGCATTTGCGGAAATGGAGCGCGATGCTAAGACTCGGGTGAAAGAAACCGCCCCCGCCTGTTGACAGGAGCGTGGCTCACGTAATGTTATGCCACAGCACAGTTGATGCATAAAGCTCGGGAGAGAGGAAACAGTATCCAACTGAAACTCGTCTTGTTTTGGATTTGGTGTGCAAAGGTGCACGTAATTGATTTAATGTAGAATCAAATGAGCAAGTTTGAATAAAAGGGGCGAAGGTGGGTTTTATATTTGGCCGCGACGAGAAGGAATTGGCATTCAACAATTACCTGGACATGTTCTCTCTCTGTGGACGATGCGCCTTTTCAAGACCCAATTTGGTGAAAATCCCCACGAGCGCCATAATAGCCACAACTCCACATATGATGTAAACAATTAAGTTCGTCTTGTCTTTGGTGCTGTCGTGCATCTTGTTCATTTTCTTATACGGCGTCTGGCCGGTTTTCATCCACAATGGGGTGTCGTAGTTTTTACAGGTGCTCTGATCCAGTCGAGAATGTTTGTAGGAGCAGCAGAAGCGGAAGCCACAGGTGCCGCAGCAGTATAAATAATTGCCCGTTTTGCAAATAAACGGAGGGTCCCACTGTCCCATCACGTCGTAGTAGCCTCGGCATTTGTCCTCCGTGTGGGGGGTCTCCTCGGACACGTTCTCCTCCTCGGTGGAACCGTTGGAGGTGGCGATCATCACGAAGCCCCCGAGCAAGCCCGGCTCCCCGTCCGCCTTACACACCAGAGCGGTAACTTTGAGCAGCAAGAAGCCGAGGAGAAAGGAGTCGCCTCTCATGGTCGCTTCCTCCTCCGTTCAACTTCACGCTGAAACGCCGAGACTCGAAGACGGGAGGCGGTCATGCCACGCTGAAAAGTCCAGAAACATACACCCAAACAGCAACGCGCCTTCGTCCGAGCTGATGAACATCTTAACTAACATCATCTATGAACACGCGAGATTCAAAGCACTGGTTGCTCTGTGTGTGTGTGTGTTCTCAGTATGGTGCTTTTTTTTTTTTTTTTTTTTTTAAATCTCCCCCCCCTCCCAAAGTGGGCTGCGCTTTTCGGCGCGCTCTTACGCACCACTCGCAGCACTGAGAAGGAGAGCGCAGTGAGAAATGTGGTGGGAGAGCCTGGTGCGCTAAAGAGAGGACGAGGAAAACAGGGGGAGGGAGGGAGAGAGGGAGAGAGAGGGAGAGAGAGAGGGAGAGAGAGAGAGAGAGAGATCCAACGTTATCAAGTCAAATACAACTTTATTGTCAAATGTACAGTATGTGCAACATATAACAGATGAAATTTCTTCCCTCTCAAACAGACAACATTATTATGATTATGAAATCGTGATTTAAAAAAAAAGACATCGACGATCCACTTTACTGTATGTTGAGCCTTGAGACAAGGAATGCTTTGGGAGTTCTGTTTTTCCCAGCAAATTTTAATCACAGATGGCTACAAGTATCCCTAAACGTATTTTTGACGCAGAATTCAAAAATATCTTGACTTTTTTTCTAAAGCACATCATATTTTTGAGATATGTTCAAGTTTTGTTTTGAAATTTGACCGATATTATATTCTAATCAGAATTGTTAATGTACTAGAGAAATAAGGGCAGAATCAGAATCAGGGGAAAAAAAACTAGAACAGTTTATTTGCATCTCTGATTGAAAAAAATGGGACAAAATTGTTGAACAGCAATAAGTAATAAGAAGAATTGTTTTGTAGATCATACGACCTAAGTAGAGTAGTGCAATGTATAAAAATGGGTAAAGACCGCCCTTGTTTTTCACAGAGCTGGAACTGGTGACATCATGGCAGCGGTTCAGCCGCCAAAGAACGTGCGTCAAACTCTAGGCCAGATATGGCCACAGCCTTTTGACGTCGCAGTATGTCCAGTTCATGTTTCTCGCTCGGCTCATTTGTTTTTTTGTCTTTAGGGGAGAAAATCTGTTTGGAAAAAGTTGAGACAAAATATTCAATTTAACCTTTCGGGAACCCAGTTTTGTGCAGGGTCAAACCGTCGCCATGATAACACCTTCAATAACAATAAGGATAATGTTTTATCAATTAATCAAACTCGTGTTTCTCCTAAAATGCAACTTAAGTAATTACATGGCGGCGTCTGAGGTAGTCTTTGCGCTCTGTTGAACTGGGACAGCCTTTGCGTGGCACGGTGATCTCACCACTCTGCAACTGCAGCCTGTGAACGGTGCAGACCCTGAATTGAGACACGGCAACAGAGACAGACAACCGTTCACACTCTCAGTGAGTGGGAAGTGCACTCACACCGCCTGCACAAAATTCGGGCTCGTGAACCATGACACCATCAGAGACTTGCCACTGTATCTATTTTAATCTTCAACAGGCAAGGACCCAAAATTGGTCACTTCAGCAAATAAACGGACCATGCCCATAATCCTTTACTAGGGTACAGTAAACATATGAGCTAATACGATCATAGATTGGTCAACACATGGGGTGCAGTGCATTTTGGTGTATATGTCAGGGTTATAATAGTGCTGGATTTTTCATTGCAGTTCTTTCTGATTTAGACTTCACTTGTAGTTTATGATGATTTTTTTTTTTCATGATGCATTACCGCTGTGAAAAATCAATTACGTCTTGGAGTTGAAAGTGAAAGTGAGCGAGCTCGGGCTCCTAGATGCCCCTGGACAAAATGATCAATACAGAAAATTAATTTCAGGAAAGCCAATTTTTGGAGGTTGGATCCCCTGATTTCGAACAAGCTCTCTCCATGGTGCTGAAACTCCCTAATCTCTGTCCAAAGTGCTTGTATTTCAAACGTTGAGTGGACACGATTCAGTTTGTCCATCCATCCATTCATGATCCGAGGCACTTAATTATACAGTATTGGTGTTCGTCAACTATACAGTATGTGCTTCATAAACGCACAGTATGCAGGAAGTTGCATAAATACCAAATATCAGATGGCCAGTACCATCACTTGCACAAACGATTGAGAGCTAAGGGCATAAATTATCTTCTTACAAAGGGAATGATGATTATCATTCAGATTAGAATACTTAAAGTAATTATCATTGACCTACTTCTTTTAGTTATCAAAGTGGGGCAAGTGAGTAGAAATCACAATCAGCTTTATTGGCCAAGTATGCACAAACATCCAAGGAATTTGTCTCCAGTAGTTTGAGCCGCTCTTAACAAGAAACGATAACAAGCACACCCTTTAGGACAAAACAGAGGTACCGTGAGTGCGTGTAAGAACAGAATAGAAACTCGTGCGATTGAATAGAACCAATAAAATCTACGTTGTGTAATGAAATGACAGTAAATCTGCAAGTGAACGCCACACAGCTGACAAAACAGGCATTGTAATCGATCACCGATAGTCACCCCGGTTAGCTTCAGCAGCAGCCGGACAATCACCGTGAGAGGAGACTGGCTTGGCAAATAAACACCGGATTGGAGCAATTCTAAAATCAAATGGCTGGGCCGGAGGAGATCTTTCTCCGGGCAAAACATCGGACATTCATTGGACTCAGTGAAGGTACTCTGTTTACGTTAGCAATCTTAGCACCGGTTACGAAACTTGGAGGCTAACGATTTAGCTCTCGTTCCATTATACTGAGTTGAGGTCGCCGGTTGCGTAAAACACCAACTATCGTCGAACTTCCGATACAGAGTGATTTATCATTCGGCGGGTGTTTTGTGTTTAATCTACTTTTGATACATTTAAAACTGAGACGTGACTCGCAACTGTTATGAGAAAAAGGAACCGAAACTGAAATGTTTCACCGCAGCCATTCTTAAATTAAGAAATGGGACAATCAAACGGAATACATATCAAAGCTGTCCAAGCTACATATCAAAGCTGTCCAAGTATGTTAATTCAGACATGTAGTTCATTATTTTGTTCAGTGAGGTGCTATATAATTTCATTTTGGAACTTGCTGGCAGAAGGACGTGCAAAGTAATCTCAAGAATTTACCAATGCCGAAGGTTTGTGCGTCAATCTCAAATGAAGATGATATTCTTTTTCGAGTTCAGCGTCTGCCATATGGGACGATTCTGCGATTTGTGTTTGAAGATGTGTACAGCTTATCAGGGGAGCTTTCCAGTCGCCTCGCAGTCCGTGTGTGTGTGTGTGTGTTAATCTTCCTCTTTGTCGGTAAAATAGTTCATATATCTGACTAGAGAGAGATCCATTGTTCTATAAATTGCACCCGGAGCAACAAAAGGCTTGCAGGATTAATTTGAGATCCCCATGCAGCTCTACAAAAGAAGTGTGCTCACATGTAGAGCGCAAATGCTTCTGCATATGCTTCTCTGTATGATTTGAATATGCTGCTGTGTGAAGGGAAGCAAATGTAGACATCCATTGGCTTGAAATGTTTTAAAATTAAAATGGGGCTTGTGGCGCAAAATGTTTATTACGATGATAGTTATGTCAGGAAACCTACATGCAATGCAAACTTCATTAACTTTAAGGATGCCTTTGTGCCTTAACAGAGAGAGTGCATTTTCCCCACAATCAAAATCCGACCATGTTTCGAACCCGCTTTTGTCAACAGTACCCTAAGGATCAGAAATGATGGCACCCTTTACACAGCCAATTTAAAAATTGCTCTGGATTTTCGCCTACTCAGTTTCACACTTGGTTGGTGGGCAGGCACTTTGATGACTCAACTATTTGAACACAAAGCTATAAAAAAAAAGAGGCAACTTTTCATACCGTAATACAGTACTGTATGTCCTCTTTAAGTACACATTTCCTCTTTTAAGTGCAAGTTCTTCTTTTCACATGTTCATATTTTTCAACCCCGAACAAAGAAAAAAGAAAATTGCGCGCCCGCTGGCTCGAATGAACTCTAATGAGCAATGAAACATTTGGGGTTACACTGTCATTTTTTTGTCCATGACATGATGGTAATCAAAAAAGAATGTGTTTTCACTTCACGGTTTCTAAAATGTCAATTGCACTAAAGGTGAGGGGGAGGTGCCATTGTTAGGCTTGTTCTTGTCTGTTTCCCCCAGAAACCAGACAGACTTTTGTCACTTGGTCGTATTCCATCAAATTCCTCTCGAGGACTGAATTATCACAGTCTTATTCGGAAGTGAGGTACACGGTGAGCATGTTAAACGAAGAGGATGATAAACAGTCTAGGACCCCATGCTGACTGAAGGGATCTGTTCAGCATGCAGATGCTTCACAGTGGCAGCAGCGTGTCGCTCCAGGTACATGACAGGAAATGAAATGAATGAAGGAAGGAGAGAGTCGATTTGGACACGCTCACGTTTACCTGCAGCTTTTGTGTTTGCATGCTAGAATATAGTGTACAGTGTTTTGTGGAAGTGGTATTAAATGATTCTCATAGTTGCCTTACAGGAAATTCAAGCATTTATTTTTTGTGCAAGTTTTAACCAGAAGCCTTGAATTAAAAAAAGAAAATAAAAAAAAAGATGATTAGGTTTTGCGTTTGATTTATTTTGCTCCCAAAACATGTCTTCATTTTTATTTTATTTTTTATTTTTTCCTTTGTAGATGTCGAGCATGAGTGGACGGGCCCATTCTACTTCATCCAGGCTGCAGACCCCCAGCTTGGCCTGATGAAGGCATGGCGAGAGGGCGACTGCAAAGGTGGAGGAGACGAATGGACTGAGGAAGTTGAGCTCACCAAACAAGCGGTGGAAGCCATGAACCAGTTGCGTCCTCGGCCGAGGTTTATGGTGCTGTGTGGCGACTTGGTCCATGCCATGCCAGGTAAAAACAGCCCCTTCAGGATATACCCAACCTGCTTTAGGGTTGGATGATTAATGAGAAGTGAAATCCTGTGTTTGATTTTGGCATCTCTCCCATCTTTCAAACTTTTATCATTGAAGAAATACGATGAATGTGTAGGACGGCGCGGTGCGTTTTAAAGTTCCCAATGTTATGAAAGTACCCTGAATGCACCATGTTGCTTGCGCAAGCGATTCTGTCGCCCCTGAGTGTGCTTTAAACAGTTTAATGACACAAGAAGAGACCGCCACCCCTTGTTACAACTGTCATTAAAGTTGAGATTGATTCATTTTAATCTTAAAAAAATGTTGACATTGTCGTTGCGGGGTGTTGTGTGTGTGTCAATATGAGTAAAAAAATTAATTGATTGAAAAACTGAAACGCTGTGAATACTTTCCAGAAGCACTGTCGGGGATTGAGCCATGCCACGGATAGTAAAAAAAAAACAAACAAACTTTATTTATAGTTTGAACAGTGAATATGCCTCAAACGCTGATACAAAAACAGTTTATCATTTCAAGATCATCTCACAACACTATTTTGAAAAAAAAAAGCCAATTAACTGTTTCAAGGTGGATGTGAAACCGTCTGGACAGTAAAAAAGAGATGCTAGTATCAATAGAGTAGCTGGCAATTACTGGTCTCATTTTGGAAGACTTGATGTCAACTCGCAGATGCCAGCGGTGTAAGTTTAAATTCGGGGTCGTCCTTTAGTCTGAGCAAACGATCCTCAAGCGGCCCCAAGAGCATCATCCGGGAACTCGGGCGGCCTCACTAAATGCAGCACCTATTTCATCGCGCTTGAAATGACTCCGCCAAATTGCCCATAGCGGTTAACTATTTCAAAACACAAGCTGTGCTTTCACTGATCTGCGTTCCCCATTTTGTCATTTGTTTTGTTTCATGTGTTTTGTGTTGTCGGCCTGCTTGACATCAAGCGTTTTCCAAAATAATAAGGTCAACCGGTTAATTTGAAATTCCGTCAAGTCTTTCATACCAGTAATGGTAACAAGCAGGGCTGTTTCGAGGAGAAATTGTTTTGTGGAGAGTGAAAGCCTCTTGGGGCTTATTAAAAGATAAGCCGTACATATATGCACTTTTATGTACAGTATTAGTGCATGGATTCGTGTTATTGCGAGGCTCTCTCGCTTGCATTGTTCCGATGAAATTAACTGATCTGTGTTTAGGCGACGCGATGGTTCAGTGATGTGAGATATTCCATGCCAGAGAAGGTTCCAGCCTGAGCCTGCTCTGTTTCCCCAGCCAGTCTGTAAACAACATCCTCCCTCATGACAGCAGCTGATATTTATCTATGAAAAAGCACAGCCCTCCCGGCTATCCTCTGGAAGCTTTGGTTTCTATTCTGAATAAGATTTTTGGCTTTTGATCAGGCCACATTTGCTGTGCTTTTTGTTTGGTTACCGTTGAGGGAAAGAAAAACCACAAAAAAAAAGTAAGTTCTTGACAGTTTTTTTAAAAAATATCTCAGATAACAGTAGCATACATTGTGTTTAACTTTTAGAAGAGTGAATACATCTTGTGCTCACTGCTCGGTACATTCGTCATCCATTTAAGTCTGGATCAAGGCAGACTTTTATGTATCCCGCTGAACATTAAATTTTTCATGAGCTTGTCTATATCATAAACGTTCCAATAATAAGGTAAGCTCAAAATTCGGCTGTTTACCAGGTGTCCAATTTGATGATCAAACCGAGCCAAGAAGCTGTTTCAAACCACCGTCAACCGTCTTTTTCCACCCTGCTACCCTAAATCTTTCTCTTTCCACCACCCAACAACATATTAAAAAAAAAAAAAAAATGGTTTAGGAACTGTGTGTTCAACAAACAATAACAACAACAAAAAGCCACAAGCTATCCACCACTGCAAACCTCCTTTGCATCATAATGAGGGCCCAAGCACAAGGTGCCTATCTGGCCCTGAGCCGTGGACACAGAAAATGAGTCGAGAGGCGAATCCGTCTGTCTCTCGCCCTCTCTGCATGTACTCTCATTTCTTTCATTTTGACCTGAAAGTTAGGCAAACTATTCGCATTTTAATATCCTATACACATGAAATCGTTCGTCAACTGCTCATAGTCCCAAAGCAATGTGCTCCGTATCCCTCAGCATTATACGAGTACCGTATTTTCCGGATTATAAATAGCGGTTTTGTTTAGTTTTTCTCCATAGTTTGGCTGGGCGGTGCGACTTCTACTCTTGAGTGACTTTTGTGTGAAATGATTAACACATCATATCATTTCACGTTATTTTCACATTAAACCACAAGACGGTGCTCTCGGCCTGAGTTGATACTTTGCCCATTGGCGGTCACTGATTAAAAACAACTGACGATGAATTTGACGGAAGCGATGTAGAAGAGCAAGCGCCGCATTTTCTACCTCCGGAGTACACGGAGTTCTTTAAAAGTGACACAGAGGATGAAGATTTCATTGGATTTAGTGATTTGGAGTGACACTGGTGGTTTGGTAAACTTATTAGCATGTTCTTTATGCTATCGCTATCTGAATAACTAAATTTCTCCACAAAATGCCACTTATACTCCAGTGCGTTTTATGTTTTTTTTTTTTTTTTTTCTTCTGTGTTATGCATTTTATGGGTGGTGCAATTTATACTCAGGAGCGACTTGTCGTCCGGGAAATATGGTAGTTCCAAACAGTATAATAGCAGGAGGTCTTTATTGTTGATGTCTGTCTGACCGTGCCTTAGTTCCCCTGAAACTATTTGCATTGCAGACTGAATGGGTGGTGGCCAGGGGACGCGAGCTGTCAGCCAGCGTTGTGACTGCCGCTTGCCTTTTTGGTGACAGGAAATTGGCAACTGTAATTCTGTTCTCACATATTTCCCTCTGTAAATCTCCTTTGGCTCAATCTGACATCTTCTCTTCACTTCTATCCTCAATCTTGAGTAAACAGCTGCTATCTCATCCCTTATTTTGACATCTATCATTTAATGGCAGAAACATTCCTTTGGGATACCCTGCTTCTCATATGTCTTTTCAGTGTATCCAAAGGATCAAGTTGAGTCCAAACAATGATGACGTCCTCTCTCCAATGTTATTGACCCAACCGAAACTAGAATGTATGTCACTTTGTCATGCAGACGGTGCATTTGCGACACGCCCCACACGTGCGACGCCATGTACTTGTTTTCTAGAGTGACAAATACACGAGCAAACGTGGTTGAGAAGTTTGAGATGGTGAGCTGATTAAATGAGACAAAACATGGTGGACGTAGCCGCGTCCTAATGAGCACTACAAAGGATTCGCGCAGCGTCCCCGGGGATGCGTAAAGGCGTTTTCCTCACGGTACAGTGGGGAGAAGCATCCGAGTGTTGTCGCAGGGCACGTGTGTAAAGCTCATGTAAGTGAAGCACAGATTACCTTGGGTCCTCTCGCTTAAACTGAAATTGTATCGAATAAATGCAGTTGAAGGCAGATATTGTGCACGCTCCAAAAGTACTGAGACAGAATATCACACGGGTGCAGTACAATAGAAAGTCTTTATTAGTCTCCCAATGTGGAAATTCTGTATTTCAAAGAAGCAAGCCAGCTGATATGATCTTGTCTCAATTTACGTACAAATTGATTTTAATCAGTGTCAAGTCTGGGTCTGTTTAATTGAACACAAAACACTTTCTCAATTTCTCAACTTTTCACTTCCTGTACGTTTTTGAGATGGGTCCGAACCTTTAAATAGTGAAGGTCTTAAAGGCTTTGAGACTTTGGGTTGGTTTTAGGGAAGTGGCTGTTGCATGTTATCTAATTGGATCATCCCAAACGGTTTGCAGGCGAGCTGAGCCGCTACTCCCGCTTTCAAACTGATTAAAAGAATCCATGTACAGATTTAAGAGCTCAGGTTTAAGTAGATTTGAGAGAGTGTAAGGAAACTATGGTTCATGTAACGTGAATATAATTATCAAATCGAAACGTTTCGGCTTTATTCTCATTCAAGCTGCTACCTCCGTTATGCTCCCCCTTCCACTGCAAGGATAGCTGCGAGAAACAGCCTGACCCTAACTTTTGTCTTCCGAACTGTGAAAGGAACTCATTTTGACCGCTTGTATCTGTGTATTTGATTTTTTCTTTTTTTTTTTAAGTCTTCAAAGCGCCATGGGTGAAGATGGGAATGTTGATCGACTGTTAGATCAAAAGCACAGATCCCTCTTCATCCTTACAGTCCAGTGAAGCCTTTGCATTACTGCTGATAATACAAGTTTGATCCTGCTCCCTCGGTTCTCACATCAACCTGACGCCACTCGCAAAAACTCACACTCGGAAGACATTTTTATTTATTTATTTATTTATTTTTGCTTTCACAACACGCTGTATACTATTGACAGCTCAAGATGAATTTTGCATGGCACCTAGTCGGCTTTCGATATTGTGTTGAGAAACATTTATCATGCCAACCTGTTAGCGCTGGTTGTGGCGTTGGACCCAACGGCAGCGAAACCTCAAAAATGAATCTAAAATTGGAAAAATATGGAATTCCCCCAACATTTTACGCAATCTCAAAAACGTCAGGGGTCAGAAAGCTGTCATTCATGATGTCACGAGGACATCAGAGGATCTCGTGAGACTGGTGCTAACTCGAGAGACATATACCGATACTGTACCTGATGTTACGTGAAGTAACATCAAAATTTTAGAATATCTTGGAGGTCCTTTGGACCTGGACGGTTATCCCCAGAGTATCTGTTGTTGTTGTTCATCCTGCCTGCCAGGTGAATCAAGGTGTCTCAAATTTAGATTAATGGACTTCTGAATGAGGGTGACTCATAGCTGGACACGTTAATTCACTGCTGTACTTGAGGTAGACAGCCGGAGGTGTGAAGAAACAGAAGGCACCGCAGCTTCTTTAAAACCCCCATCTGGTGTGAGGCTTTAACGGATGTCGATTCACTTTCACTCTCCCAGAAAACCTTGAGAGTGGCTTGATGTCACCGTCGAAAGCCAGCCCTGCTTCACGCTTCCTGTACTTCTTAGCACACCATTAAAAAAAACAAACACCTGTTGGATGGAAAAAAAAACCACAACTGAGCTGCTCTTTTTGTGAAATTGACACTGTCAATCATAAACTACCGTATTTTCCGCACTATAAGGCGCTTCGGAGTATAAGGCGCACCTTCAATGAATGGCCTATTAAAAAAAAAAACAGATATAAGGCGCAGAGAACAGACGCTACAATCGTGGCTGCGATTACATTGTGCATCCACTAGATAGAGCTATGCTAAAGGGAATACAATACAGCCTTTTTTTTGTAGAGCCCTGTCTGCGGTTGCAACATATCCACTAGATGGAGCTACGCTAAAGGGAATACAATACAATACAGCTTTATTTCCATCGAGCCTTCACAACCGCTGCAGCTGTAACGAAGCGCTTTACCGAACATTGAAAATTCTACTTCCAAGAAAGCAGAACATTGATCCATAAATGAAGTGCACTGGATTGTAAGGCGCACTGTCGACTTTTGAGAAAATTTAATGCTTTTAGGTGCGCCTTTTAGTGCGGAAACTACAGTATAGACCAAGAGTGTCAAACTCATTTTTGTCGCAGGCCACATTATAGTGAGGGTGTCCCTTGGAGGGCCGTTATAAATTTTGGGAAACCATATAAATGTTTAATCCCCTCCACAAATTACATTCACAGCGCAATTGATGAATAACTATTTTTAAAATCAGAAGTCAAGAATAATGTTCTTGTGGATTACATATGACAATTTTAAATTTTGATTTCAGACTTTAGCAAGCATCACGGAACTTGACATGCTTGGTTTGCATTCACGGGCCGCATAAAATGATGTGGCGGGCCAGATCTGGCCCCCAGGCCTTGACTTTGACACCTGTGCTGTAGACGATGTCTTGGATCACTTTCTAAAGAAGGAATTCAACTCTTAAAGGTAAACACTGAGAAGAGCAAACGTGGACGGCGCTATGTCTGGATGTGAGGAAGATACTTGCCAATAATTGCAGGTTGCATTGTAATATTGTATAAATCCCGTGGAGTCAATACATCAGCATGTTATGCTGACTCAAAGTGAATATGTTGAATTGCTCCGTTTAAAATCCAAATGTGTCTAACGGTGTGGTTATTTCGGAGCTAACAGGTGCAACACTCGCCTCAGCGTTTCGAATGATAGGGTAAAATGCGGGAGCTATCTTCCATTCCCGCTTCATGAGTGCGACGGCCTCTGCTCTCTGGCTGGAATTATAGCAGTGGCTAGATTATGTGATGGTGAAATGATAAATCCGCAGAGTTAGGATGAGAGTCAGTCTGTCAGCGAGACAGAAAACCAACCTGAGAGGATTTGGTACGAGACCCATGGCTGGTATCCTCAACTCTTAATTTGAAGAAGCAGAAATTCTGAACTAATAACATCACTTCATCTTGTTTTACAAACGACCCGTTTGCTCAACAGTGAGATTTCCGAGCCCAATTTTTGAGGAGTCTTTTCATGGCCACAGCTCAGCTCTTCTTCTCATGCCGTGTAAACACCATTGACTCTGCGTCACATAGTGCAGGTACATTCATTATTTTGCTCGAAATTAGCCATCACTATGGAGCCAAAGAAAGGGAAAATATAGATACTGCTAGCCAAAAACATCCGCCACATCCTACAGTGCAATATAGATGGTTCTTGTCCACATCCAGCTCAGCTTGAAGATCTTGATTTCCTTCCGCACCCCACATGCGCCATCTGGCCCGGCGATCATTATAGGTCACAGTGGAACCAAACACAAACAAACCCTATCATCTGCAAAAAACGCAGTTGCAGCCCTCCAACTAAAAACCCTCCAGTGCTTCTTTTTTTTTTTTTTTTGATTCCCAGCGAATTGCCTACATTGAGCACTTTGGCCCCCTTCAGCCCTGTCATCATCATCATCATCATCATCCCTTCAGAATTTCTCTGCTCATGTAACTACAACCATGACATCATCTACGTTCGCAAATGTATACACTCGTTGCGCACCGAGTCTCAATATTTTTTTTTACATGGAGGACGGAAATGAGATCCAGTAACAAGTGGCCACTTTTGGTGCAATCACACACACTGGTCAGATGAAACACGGTGCATGTAAATGATGTCTTTTAAACAGCGCTGAAAAGCATGTTGCATCCCATCAACAACTACATCTCATCGGCTTGAAAGTCCCGTAAAAACAATGAATTCATTGCTTTTACTATTGCGTGTTAATAACGTGAGCAACATTGTGACCTAGCCGTTAGCACTCATAGTTCTGCATCTTCATGCGGGTACTCACATTTACACAATATATCTGTTAGTTTGATTGAAGACTCTTAATGATCCATAGGTATGAATGTGAGTACCTATTTTCCGCACTATAAGGCGCACCTAAAAGCATTCAATTTTCTCAAAATCCGACATTGCGTCTTACAACGCGATGCGCCTTATACACGGACCAATATTCTGATTTCTTGGACGTAGTATTTTAAATGTTTTGTAAAGTGCTTTGTTACAGCTGCGGGAGTTGTGAAAGCCCTCTGTAAATAAAGCTGTATTGTATTGTATTGTATTCCCTTTAGCATAGCTCTATCTAGTGGATGCATAGCGCAACCGCAGCCACCTTTGTTGCTTCTTGACTATGCGCCTTATAATGCGGTGTGCCGCATATATGAAAAGAGAAAAAAAATAGGAAGTCTTTGAAGTTGCGTCTTATACTCCAAAGCGCCTTATAGTGCGGAAAATACGGTAGCTGGACAATAGTAAGTGACTTCCACGACCTACAAGGCCCGTTCTCACAAAACTATCACTCGTTTACTCCGAAGCGCTTTATAATGCGGAAAATACGGTAGCTGGAAAATAGTAAGTGACTTCCTCTACCTACAAGGCCCGTTCTCACAAAACTATCACTCGTGTTTTTTTTTTCTTTTTCTTAAGTCTTATGGCTACCTAAATAAACTGATGCATTTCATTAATCATGCAAGAAAACGTGTAAAACACACCGTCTTTTTCAACGCTCACCAAAAAAAAAAAAAAAAGAAACCCTGCACTCTGCTCAGCTCAGAAAACCTATTATAGACCTCTCTACCCCACAGCAGACCTTGTGCTGTTATACATATTGAGTGTTAATGCATAGAAATTGGATTTTATGGGGTAATGTGGGTAGCTCACAAAAAAACAAGTCTAGATCTCTTTCCAAGGTTCACTTTCAGTGGAGTGCATTAAGTTAGAGTAAAACATAGCCTTGTCTGTCTTGATAAAGACACCGACAAAACACCGAGCTACAAACTCCATTCAGTCCAGGTTTACCAAGGTTAACGTGGAAATCTTCCATGAAAATGAATCACGCCACGTTTGGCTTTAGCAACCACGGTGACGTATCATTGTGTTGTGCAGGCCAGTTAATCAATCCTGAAGCCTCCCATCACTAGCGTCGAATAGTTCTTTCCCCGCAAATCAACTCTTACTTACTTCACACTCCTAATGGAGAGTTTTTTAGAATTTTGTCACGTATGATGTCGTTCACACAAGCCATTTATTTCATATGCAGGAGCCCCTTTCAGGGAGGATCAAGAGCGAGATCTCAAGACGGCATTGAAGGGGACGGACCCTTCTATCCCACTCGTGTTCGTCAGCGGCAACCATGACCTTGGAAACACCCCTACCCCAAGAACAGTCGAGCAGTACTGCAGTGCATGGGGCGATGACTATTTCAGCTTCTGGGTAAGCAATTGCAAATCATATGTCATTATAGTCAGCATATCTTGTAGAGGTGCGGTCAAAATGATTTCACACTCATTTTTTTTAAAATTGCATGTTGCATTTAAAAAAGTGACCTCTTGCAAATTAATGATGGTGAGTTATGTCATGTATTGTCTGTTTTGTTCCGACTCGATTTTGGAAATGTAAATTTCGAATGGATGTTGAATCATTTCGACGGAATTTATTTTTGATACATCGACAGTGAATCCTGAGGTTGTAATAGTTCTAATTTGACCTACTCAATGGACTTTTTTTTTTTTTTTAAGACCACACAGCGTTTTATCATGTCGCATCTATTCCACTATCACCAGTTCCTGATTTTAGATTATAATTTGTGCTATTTTTGTCGCCTTTGGGGTTAATGAAGGCTTCATTTCGGTTTGACACTCAGTGGAAATTGTTAATTGTGCTTGCGCGGAAACGGAATGAGCTGTCTGCACTTGTACCTCTCTCCGCTGGCTGTTGAGCTATCAAAATGCAGATTAGCCGACATCATCAACATGACATTTAAATGTCTATCAATTTGTTCCTCCGTTGCTCGCCGGCGAGTCGAACTGATGGTTTTAAGGTGATTGAATGAGCGGTTATTGAGAAAAATGAAACACGGGAAAAAAAGGATTGCGCACGTTTGGAATTGGAATTCGGTGTTTTGGTTTGCGCAGTACAACAAAATGTGGAAACATCTGCCGGCGTTTTTAGAATATTCGATATTTTCTGGTGTTAAAAAAGTTTTTTTTTCAACGGATCTAATCATTTAATTGACTGTTCGGAACTGGGTTAAAAAAGTTTTGGATTTGTCATCATAATTCATTTTTATTTCATTGTGACTTTTTTTTCCGAACTGTTACTTTTAATTGGTTTTTACTGCAAGTTTATTCGTTTTTTTTAAAAAAAAAAAAAATTCTGATAGTGTTTCATTTTAATGTCGTTTTTAATTAGTTTTGGTATTAGTTTTATTTTTATTTTTTTCAACAGATGGACTATTTGTTCCTTGCCAAAAGGTCACAAAGTATTGTGGACGAAAGGACAGTCGACTACAATTCTCAAACTGTTAGACCTTCCTTCTTTCATCCATATCGAAATAACTACCATAAAATAAAATAAAATAAAGGAGTAAAAAGATGAAAACTAAATGCTTTTTTTTTCTTTCTTCAATTATAGGTAGGTTTAGTTAGCTTTACATATACAAGAAAAAAAATTTCGGCTTTAGCTTCAGTTGTTTCCTGACTTTTTGTGAACTACAATAACCTTGGTGATCAATTGACTTCTCGCGTCTTGTGGAAAAGAGGTGGTGTTGATTCGGTCCGCCCGCAGCCACAAAAGTGTTAAGAGCAGGAATAAATGAGGCTTTGCTGTGAACACTGGCTGAATCATTTTGTTGTTTCTGTTTTCTCAGGTGGGCGGAGTCCTCTTCCTCGTTCTGAACTCCCAGTTGTTCTACGACGCTTCGGCCTGCCCTCAGTTGAAGGAGGCTCAAGAAACGTGGCTGGATGAGCAGCTGAACAAAGTCTCATCTTCCTCAGTAAAATCGCACCATCCGCCGCTGATTCATTGCTACCGAATAAAATTGACGATAGAATCACCATAAGTTTGTCCCCCCCCCGTTCAGGCACCCAAACACATCGTAGTGTTCCAGCACATTCCCCTGTACATAAAGAAGCCCGATGAGGAAGATGACTACTTTAACCTCCAGAAGGAAGTCAGACAAAACCTGATGGACCGATTTAAGAGAGCTGGTAGGACTTTTTCCTTTATCTCGTACTCTGCTCATTCTCATTAGGGCTGAGTTATAAATCGTTTTTATTTATTATTTTTTGAGTTGGTCAGGATGATTTTTCGCTCAAGTGTGCCTTTCTGTGGTGAAAAAGTTTTGCCCTGCAAACACAAAGTCAGTGTTTGTCAATTAGATTTTTGGGGCCATATTACCCGGGCCGGCCTCTCACAGTGTCGTCAGGAAACTTAATTGAGAATGATTTTATCGTTTTGTTCTTTAGCTTCCAGCTGCCTGCAAAATTACGCAGCTAAGTCTTCCTGTAAACCCCTGCTTCATTCAGTAAAAAAAAAAAAAAAAAAAAAAAAAAAAAAACAATACTTTAAAGATGATTTTTAGACATCTGTATGGTGGTTTAAAATTTATTGTCTTAATACTTTGTAGCTTTTTAGCTTTGTCAGCCCATCATATCTAAACTGTAACGTACTAAAGATTCCTTGCCCAGAGGAATCATACGCAGCTTAAACCATACAAGAGGATTATTTTGCACACACAGGACAGCCACAATTGATTTAAATAATGACTTCCTAATAGTCATTCCTTCTTCAAAATCATTTTTTTTTAACTTATAACACTCTGGATTTGCTACAGAACACTCAAGGACAGCAAGTCCCTGACGTGGCACACATACACACGCTTGCTCGTCACACAATTGGGCCAATTTGACATGGCTGATTGACAGGGGCCTCTTATACGGACACGCGTACTTTTTCAGTCATTCATCAAGGTGACTGTTGGAAAGAGTATTCATGAAATTCCCCATCCTTTATGTCCGCATGTATTTAACCATGTTACCCCATTTTGGTTGGATGACCCCCTCTCTCTCGCATTACATCTCTTTTCGAACAAACTGTCATTAATGATTCAAAAGGGGACAGTCATTTTCATCCGCAAAAACACTGGGAATGACCGTCAATGCACCGTAGATGTTAAACGCGTCTTTTATCATCCACACCGATCCTGACAGCAGTTGTACATTCATACTGCATGCAGGGCGTATGCTGTCGGACATGTAATACTTCGCCGCAGTACATAGGGTGATAAATATTGATTACTGTACAGGTATGCGCATACACTTACAGTTGCGGTCAATGGTAAGTATACACTTTCAATCCGTGTTTCAGGTGAGAAATGAATGTTTTCGCATCTTTTGTTTACTCACATCCTCTGATTGTTTTCTGTCGTGGCACCGCGAGGTTAAGTGAAATATTTGATTGGATTTATTGTTGTGACATCCGGAAAACACCATCACATATTCCTGAAGATAAATGATAATAGCTTTTGTTCAATTGCTGCGCAAAAGTAATCAAGTCCCATCGGCACTTTACTGCACCGTATGTGTGATGTTGACATGTTAGTGTGCTGACACACAAAAAAAACAAACAAACAAAAAAAAAAAACTAAACGGTGGCAGTCGTAGCAAGCAGTTCTTGGCAGCAGGCAACGCTCGCTTCATGGCGCATCACTGCCACCGGCTGTTGTTCTCCTTCCACTGCAAGGAAACCAATGCCGGTTGATGGTGGCTGGCGATTGTCTCGTGTGCTGCCGCCATTTAGCGGAGGTGGACTGAAGCTCAAGAGTAAAGCGCAGATTTTGATCGTATCTTGAGACCAAAAAAAGTGACGATTAGGATTCTTTTTGCAGTATCTCGAAAGAGATCAAGACCGTCTAACTCAACCGAAACAACCCTATAACAGGCTAAATTAGAAGTCTTCCTGTAAAAGTTCAAATCCTTCACGCAGCAGATAGTTCCCAGCATCAATCTGTATTTTTAATTCATCTCTGTTATCTCTCCTAAGATGCCTCAATGAAGAATCAAAACAAAAATCGATCTCTCTTTGTGTCGCAAGTTGTTCATATTTCCATGCTTGATGAATTTTTGGGGGCGAATCTCTATATTTGATCTCGTCAACCACAGCCGCACATCGAAAAGACGGCACAGCACCAATTAGTCTTTGTCTGGCTCGTCGGAAGTGAGCGCTTACACCACGGGACCGTTGACTGCATTCCAGCTCATATTAATGATACGCCGCTTCTGCGTTATCACCCCCCCGTTGGTCTCGTAAAGCATCGCACAGTCCCTTTTCTTAATTGCACAAGCACTTACCGGGGGGGCGGGGGGGTGTGGCAGTAATTTGTATGATATTAAATTTGGCTTTTCCTTTTGTGGCGCTTCATGGCCATGTGTTCCTTTGTAAACTTTGAATCATTCCAGACGTCTTGAAAGTGTGAGGTTGAAGTTGGCGTCAACCGCCAGTTTTGTTTGTCGGCGTCATTCCCGACTTGATCGAATGACCCCAAAGGAAGCTTTCCATTGTTCCTGAGGGCGCCTTCAATGCTGCCGCATCGCTATCGCACCTGTAATCATTGTAAATAAGGCTCCCCCAGGCTTTGCCGTTGTTCCACTAAAACCTCTCAGTGCAACGCGTGCAGTTTTAGCCGTGTGCGGTTTTGTTGCCGCAAGCAGAAGTAGTAGGACGTGCGCAAAAGTTTACTGTCATATTTGTCGAGTAGGTTTGATCCACTTCTCTTTGATGAGTACTGAAACCCCCGTGGCTGGGGAGCGGCGCGTCTTTTTCAAGAGGCAATTGGAGTAGCAGGAATCCCACTAGTGCTCTCAGCCTCTCCTCTCGCCATACAGTAGAGTAGACGGAGGAGTGTAATTAGATTTCTATGCCCTCCACTACCCCACCTTTCACTTCCTCCTCTGAGAGTTTCGACTCCTCCTCCCGAATATTTCCATCATCCAGAGCACGGGCAACGTGGTGTCGATACTGAAAGACTGACAAGACGAGTAAAAACGAAACCGGAACAAGGGCGCGAGTGACCTCAGTCGTCGGGATTCCCAAATATGACTCGCGGCTATAGAGCAGGACGTATCTTAGCCAATTAGTGGCCAAGATAAGGCGTGTTCTGTTCTGCCCGCGTCTCTGTTTCGCTTCCTTTGTCGCTCACTCTCTTCTCGCTGGGTGTCGTTATCAGCGCGGGTCTCCCACTTTTCAAAAGGGGATGGCACATTTATCACCCAGCAGGGATTTGATAAGAGGCCACAGCTAAGCCTTTAACCCCATTGTTTTAATGATGAGGCTGAACAATGTTTTTTTTTTTTTTGCCATAGAGTATCTCGGAGCACATCAAGTAGCGTATCTTGTCGTGTCCTCATGCTTCGAGCAAACCCCATTGTTTTAATGATGAGGCTGAACAATGTTTTTTTTTTTTTTTGCCATAGAGTATCTCGGCGCGCATCAAGTAGCGTATCTTGTCGTGTCCTCATGCTTCGAGCAACAATTGAGATTAGCGATGATGATGCCCTGAGCCTGTGGGCCAACAAATGAAATGGCTGTCCCTTTACCTGACATCATTTTGAAAATGTGTCTAAAAGTGAGAATTGGATCACATTAGCGTTCCCTCTGCAAATATCGAACAGCTCAAACTGTGAATGGGAAAACGAAGGACGTGGTTGTGCTAGAAGACCGTGCGCCGCTCAATTTCGTGCCCTTGATACATTCAGAAGTCAAAGGTAGATCATAATGCGCTACATTTACTCAGTTCCGTTTGCGAAAGTCACTTTTTGATGAATTATACTTGTCAGAATATTTCCACTGCCACATACTTCATAGTACTTACTTTGGAAGAAATGCTGCGTTCGGAATTGCTCACGTGTGCCGTCTGTTTATTTCACAGAATGGACCAATTCGCACATTTTCCACATTATGAGGCGCACCTATAAGCATTCAATTTTCTCAAAAGCGACTTTTAATCCGATGCGCCTTATGTATGGATCAGTAGTCTCATTTCTTGGACGTAGTATTTCAAAAGTTCTGTGACAGCTGCAGCGGTTGTGAAAGCATTATATGAATAAAGCTGGATAGTATTGTATTCCCTTTAGCGTAACTCCATCTAGTGGATATATAACGCAACTGCAGCCACAATTGTCGTTTCTATACTATGCGCCTTATAATGCGGTGCGCCGGATCTATGAAAACGATATTAAAATAGGCCGTTCATTGAAACTGCGCCTTGTAGTGCAGAAAAAACGGTAAGTGGCAAAACCGGGTGTCATTTTTGTTAAGCAGCGTTTTTTATTTACTGAATTTATAAGTCTTCAAATAACTTGGAATCTAACTTACTTACTTTTTAAAGCAAATAATCAGTAAAGTAATAAAGTTCCTTTTTTTCAGAGTCACTGTGGCAACACTGTGAACCAGTTACTCAGTACTTGAATTTTTTTTTTCACTGAATCCTTAATAAAAGAAATATATATATATATATATATAAATAACCTACGGTTATAGTTTTAATTAATAACGTTACATTTTATTATGTGCCCAGGGTAAGTAAAGTGTAATTTTGCATAAATTAATAATCAATTCAAATCATAGATTTGCCGGCATGGTTTTATGAATGTTTTTAGTTATGTCTTTTTAAGAGTCCCACAATATCCATTTTGTAGAAGAAAAAAAAACTTGGATCACTGAGTAAATTGAGGCGCATTCATGACCATGTTCCAAATGGCCCAAAGGTATCTCCGCCATACAGACTTTTTTTGATTTCCCGAGCCCCTTTTTGGGTGTCCGTCTGGGTGTTTTGCGTGTAACCGGAGGACACACAGCCGGGAACGGACGCTTGATGATGACTGATGGGCGGCGGTGATTTATGGCAGGCTGCGGCTGGAAGATGCCTCGGCGCCGCGACATCATTTTGCTTCCCTCTGTCATGCAAATAACAAAACAGCATTTCCGATTTCTAATCATTGCGCCGCACTTTGATGACAATGGCTCCTTCATAGGAGGAGGGCAGCGCTGAAGGTAAAATGGCTTCTTCTGTAATAACCCACAAGGCGGCTTGTTTGGTTGTGTGAAACTCGGCGCGCAATTAGCAAATCCCATTTTGTCGCTGGCAAATCAGTGGCCATCAGATGAAAGGGAGAGGCATTAAAAAGGCCGCATTGAAGAAGCGATCGTAAGTATCAAACATAATTAGACGCATGAAGGTTGTTTCTTTTGTGTTTGTGTGCGTCTTCCTTTCATCTCTCCTGTCATTTGGAAGCCATTGTCAGTGAGGAAAGAATGTTTCCGATTATTAAACCGAGACTCAGCAATTGAGCAATACACGGTCACAATCAGCCCGACACGTAACAACAGTCATTGGGAAAAGTACATTTTAATATTTGAAATGTAGTTTGCGCTCATTTATGTGAAATGTCTCAACCATCTGAGAATTCGATTTGGCTGCATGTAGTGCCCTCCCCTCTCCCTTCGCTTTCTGTATGTTTTCGGTATTGTGGCTGCTTATTCTGGATTTTTTTTTTTTTTGCACAAACAGCTCCCTCCTTCCACCCCTACTAGTTTAAGCAAAGGCCAGTCACCACGTGGGAGTCTTTATCATCAAAGAAAAAAAAAAAAAAAAAGAACAAAAAACGCGAGACCGTTTTGTGGCTTACAGGTAAATAGGATTTCCACAGAGACCCAGACAAGATGAGGAATTCTCAGCACAGCGTGTGCATGTTTTCATTCGGGTAGCTACCCGCTCAGCAAGAAAAAAAAAAATCCGGATACACATACTTGCTTCGCCCTATAGCAAGAACCATACACGGGAGGGAGAAGGTTGTATGGCGTATTTCACATCACTTAATTGTTTTTTGTGGTTTTTTTCGTGGTATTGTCAGTAAACGAGAGCAATTTTTAACCTTGCCGTAGCCCGGCTGACTACAGCGGCGACTCCGGCGTTTTAAAGGTTTGAAGTTCCAGACGGTCACTCACACCCAACTGACTGCACCGCAGGGCGGTTTCATAATAATGCACAGAAATCGGCGTATGCCGCTTATGCTGGGGCGGAGTGAAATGAGTTGTTTCATGTTTTGTCTTTTGTCAAATCAAGGTTAGTTTCCCCAAAGGGGCCCGGCCGTCATTAACCTCGAGGCAGCGGCAACCTACAGCAAAGCCTCAAAGGCCACCCGTTGTGCGGCTTTCAATCCTGCTGTAGATTAAAGCAGCCTAGGCAGCTTTTTCAGAGTGACTGCAAATTCCAGAGCACTCATCAACTCAATGATAAAAAGTGAAGTGGAAAGTCGACTGGAAACGAGAATGATGTCTTTGGCCCAGGTCGCACGATCACGATCCACGCGACGATCAGCACCGTATCCACCGCACACCGTTTCATTCTTAGCTCATCCGTGTTGAAAAATGTCTCGCATCACATTAGACATGAAATGTTCATCACTTCCAGACAGTTGAACACAAACCTGCTCTCTACTGAGTGCCATTCTAGTTTTAAATTTGTTTTTGTTATACTTGCTGGGGCTGAGCAGTTTTACCTCCCTCCCGACGATAGAAATATTATGTGCAGTGCAAATCAAATACTGTAAATCGAATCCCCGCGGTGCCTCGTGTCCTGTATAAATTCTACCTTGAATTGTGTGCGCCTTCGTGCGGTGGTTTGAAGATGATGCGTCAGCAGACAACATCGATACATGCGCACGCTTACACACTCCCACATGCTTTCTTTGTTGGCATGATGAACCCGAGAGTCGTTTGCGGTTTCGCACGACTTCCAGGTGATGTGAAAGGCATACAAAGAAATGTGAGATTGACAACAATGAGAAAATGGGAGATTTCGCTCAACCGCACTTTATCATAAGGGTTCGTGAACTACAAAACGATGTACGAGTATGCACAACCTAGCATTCCGGATGCTTTGACTGTTTTCAACTGAAGCAATATTTATACTTCATAATATTCTTTTTACTGTAATTTGAACATTTGACTTGTAAATTGTGAACCTCGGTTTGACTGTCTCTTTGTCAACGGCACTTTGAAACAGTCATTCGTGCCTTCGTCACATCTCGGCTGGATTACTGTCATGCTGGTCAGCCAATTCTCCATTAAGCGTCTCCAGTTGCTCCAAAATGCTGCTGCTCACCTCTTGACTGGTACTCGTAAGAGGGAGCACATAACTCCTACTCTGGCTCCGTATACATTTTAGAGTTCTTTTTAAGATGCCATGATTTATTTTCAAATCTTTTCTGTTGCTGGTACCTCTTTTTTTGGAATGACCTCGCGCTGAGCATTTGGCAAGGCCCCTCGCTGCCCACCTTTAAAATTTGTCTTAAAACTCATTTTTATTATTTGGCTTTTGACTCAGCATGAGACTTAATTTTTAGTTGTACCATTTTTGCGCTTTCGACCGTCTTCATTTGTTTTATTGTTTATTGATGGATGGATTATTTTTGCTCCGTGTACAGCACTTGGTATACGGTGGTGGTTCTTTTAAAGTGCTCTAAAAATACAGTTGAGTTTTCTCAATACGGGCTTCATCGTTGGTACGTTGTGGCTGATTCAGTATTTTAATGGTCCATCGTCTGCGCTTCGTGTGGCAAGATTCTGATAAATTAGGTCACCTTCATATTCGGGGCTGTTTGATTATGCAGAGTGGCGGACATGATGATTCAGAGCAATTTCATCATGCTGATGCGAGAGTGTCAGCAGTCATTGCGCAAGCGGGAGATCCCTTGTCTTTATTTTCGGGACAGGTCATGTGGTCGACTGACAGGTGGTCCTCATTTTTGTCTTTTTTTGTGTGTTATCATTTCATGTGTAGTTTTTCAATTTAGATGTTTTTAAACCCATTTATCTCATTTCTACAACACGTGTCCTTATTCGCATAGTGGGTGAGCGGATCCTTGATTGAATGAAAATCACATTGACCGCTCCGGGCAATTTAGTCTTCATAAACCGAAATGATTGAAACTCGAATTTCAGAAGCAGGAGCAGACACGCTAAGTGCCGGTTATTTTCACGCACTTCATTTATTTTTGCGAAAAATAATTCGATGTGTTCGTTTGGGGCAAATCCGAGCTCACCAAATTCATTCTTGTCCTGAAAGCACTTGACACAGCAATCATTCCTCTTCAGTATTCATAAAATGTACGTACTTGTCCCTGCAGAACACCAGGGGAAAAAAAATTATACACGTAAACAAAAACATGTCAGCCCTTTGTTCAAAGTAGTTTGTTGCACACATAATTTCGCGCGGCCAGTGATTACACCGTGGTGACACGGCGCCGCCGCTGCAGGGTCTGAGCCAACCTGCGTGGCTCCGATGAGAATGTCGTTTGTAATTGAAAATAAATTGAAAATCCCCCCCCCCTCCCGCTGCCTAATGCGTGTCTCTGTTTTGTTAGAATATTTAAGTGGAAGACTGAGCGATCTTTCGTTTGCAACTTTCTTCCCCTCCCACTTTCTTTTCTGTCCGTACCGTTCCTCTGTCTTAGTAGTGATTAATAATTGCGCCCAATGCTGAGAGAGCTTCAAGTCAACATCGCTAACCAAAGAAATAAAGCAGCAGGGTGTCGTTTGAAGCACACTTTGTACTTCGAAGTGAGTTATTTAAATCCCCACAATGTAGCATTGAGTCACTCAGCGTTGGCTTACTTTGGGCAGTTGTGCTCTGAGGTGTTAATAATTTCTTTTTTTTTTTAAATTTCAATTCCCCCCCACACTGTCATTTGGATGGCTCGAGGACATCAAGGTCGGACGTGATTTGAATCAAATGGCACTGTGAAAACCGAGCTAAGTGATATTTCTCGGCAGATGTCGAAAGAACATAAGCACCCATTAAGAAAAAAAAAGTCTTCTCAAGACCTGTTTCCACCTTTCTCGCTCCAGGGGTGAAGGCGGTCTTCTCCGGCCACTATCATCGGAATGCAGGCGGTTGCCACGGCGGCCTCGACATGGTCGTGAGTTCGGCCATCGGTTGCCAGCTAGGCGAGGACGCCCACGGCGTCAGGGTGGTGGTGGTGACGGCCGACCGCGTGGTCCATCGCTACCACAGCCTGGAGCGGATGCGAACAGGGGGGATGGACGAGGATCTCCAGAAGCTCCTGCAGTCATGATGGTCTACCAAGTCTATTCATTTTTTTTTTTTCTCTAATGAAATGCAAGAACATGAATCTTACCCGATCCACAGTTTCATTCTATTGCAGCTGAATGTCTAAACGCAATTCAATTCAGGACTTGGGGTCATTTTCCGATTCGCTTGGATTTAGAAGATTTGGTTATCATAATCATTTCGAGGATAAAACTGTCACGATTATCCATCCATCCATTTGCTAAATCCGCTTATCCTCACGAGGGTCGCGGGCGTGCTGAAGCCCACCCCAGATATCTTTGGACAGTAGGCGGGGGTACACAGAGGAACAAATGAACAAAAATCACACCGAGGGACAATTTAGAGTAGGGGTGTCAAACTAATTTTTGCCCCGGGCCACTTTGGAGTTTCGTCTTCCTTCAGAGAGTCGACAGTGAAACCAAAACAAGGTTGTCTCATCGCATTACTACTTGTACACACCAAATTTAATGTGTTACTCGTCAACTACAAGAGTCAATTATTGTTCAAGTGAGTGTAAACAGGGTAACAAAATTTTTGCAAAATATCATTTATTATACATGACAATTTGACATTTTGGTACAGATTTTAGCAAGGATCATGCAAGTTAACGCACATGATTTTCCTTTGGAGGGCCACATTAAATGACGTGGCGGGCCAGATGTGGCCCACGGGCCTTAACTTTGACACCTGTGATTTACACACACGCGCACACACACACACACACACACACACACACATTAAAATGTTTTGGCAATGTGAAGTGCAGCTACAATGAACATGGTTGCGCAGCTTTTGAAGCGAAGCTCTTGATCTTGAAGAATCTAGAGCGCAATCATTTTCATGGCAAAACCAATATGGAAGTCACGTGAATGTCGACCAATGCGACTGAGCTGAAATGCCAAAGAAATCGAATTATCTATGCAATGATGCCCCCTCGGGGTTAAGAGCGGCATTGAGATGATGTCAGGAAACACTGATTGGACGATGATGAAACATGGTTGCTTTTTTTTTTTTTTTTTTTTTTAATTGTGCACGATTATGATCACTTGAGATGCTATTACACATGATTCAAATGTTTAGCACGAATACAATAATACTCATATATGCTTGAAGAGTGCTCGTACAACAAGCAGGAACGATTTGATTTCATCCTTTTTTTTTTTAATCTTCTCGATTGGGGACAAAAAATAAGCTTTCTTCTTCTCCAGTCACCATGAAGGATTTAGAAGAGTTTGTTTGTGTCCCACTGATCTGTACTAATCTTTCCCGTCTTCTTCCCGCATTCTGAGCAAATAATCCCTCCCAAATTCATTTGTTTTCCCACGGTGAGGATTACAATGACAGTTCTTATATTTTAGGACAAGATTGTGAAAATAGAGTCAGATCTGACACTTTGCACCTCACCTCTCCACTTTGTTTATTCACTCTTTCAGGGACTGCAGTTTCTACAGTGGACAGTTTATCATGCTATCAGGTTACGGGGTGCATGAAAGGGTTAAAAGAACCAAATTTTGGTTACTCGAAACACTTCGGTTAGCTTGCGCGTCATTTGACGCTCGCGGAGTCAAAGCTGAAATCCATCTTGCCGGATACGACTGTGCTGGAAAAAAAAAAAAAATGCGCTTTTGTTTGCGAGTCCCAAATATTTCGCTTCAATTACGCGCGCGGAGGGGCTCACGCAATCACCCAGACGTGCTGCGATAGTTGTCATGGCAACCTTTTGAAGCAACACATCATGTGTGTCTCGGAGAAACAACTAGAAAAGAGCGTGCATTGCCTTATTTGTGTCCAGCCACTGTCATCTTGGTTTCAGAGGTGCTTCTTTTTTTTTTTTTTTAACCATCAGCATCGCTATCGCTGACCTGATTTCAAAACTGACACTTTCTGTCTCTTCCCTTCCAAAAATGTCAGCAGGTGAAGGATGGGAGAGGAATGGCTTGTCAGCATGATGTGTGGAAGACGATCTCCTTCATTTCTAGCCTTACATACTGTACTTTCCTCATAGCCGAGCACAAATCACATGAATGGCTTCACCCCGTGTCGCAGTGGCTGTCACGCATTTGAAACGTCTTATTGTAACGAATGACCATAACACCCTGTGACCTGATCGGTGATCTTTTTATAATAAATGTTTATTTTAATGTGATTGCTGCTGCATACTGTCATTCCAACCCCCCCCCCCCCATGCACGATATACCGTATTTAGAAATTGTGGCTTTTACCTTGACAACCGCACCATGTTTTTGTGGTTCACTAAATAATCGCTTGCAGCACATCAGTAGAGGTGCGCCGTCTCACGCTTGGTTTTCAGATAATCGTTGCCAACTGTAATTTTATGGCATGGCTGGCTCCAAAAGCTTCGCCTCCTCGATTCTGTTCCCCAAATGGTGACAAACATGACGTGTCCATGATCTCCCAAGTCACTTCATCCATTTATTTTGTAGTTTTTTTCAGACAGACACAAAAGTCCGCTCGGAGCGGATGCACTTGAAGTCCAAACAATACGTATCGTGCAAGATCGATGCTAATCCTGAGATTTAAATGAAACCGTTGAAATTGATGCTGCTGTAAAAGACGCCCCCCAAAAATGTTGCTTTTATGTCTTCAAAAGAATATTAAGGCCCAGTTGTTCTTTTTTTTTAGACTGCCAGTTAAATGGCCACAAAAACAAACAAAAAAAAAACCCCGGCAGCTTTTGGTACATGCTCATAATAAGCCACTTGGCCTTTGATCTCCGTGCCAGTCAATCGGGACATGCTTTCTGTGGCTGATGAGAGCTAGAAGGTGTTTATCGATCCCGTTGCCGTGTTTCCTGCAGCTCCAACACAGACGGACATCCAGTCTAGGCACCTTTATCAGCAATTCACTGAAGGAAAACAACATAAGGGAGCTTTTAGCTGCTGCCAGAGTGTACAAGTGCGACCCCCCATCTCCACCCCCCCCCCTCACAAGAGTGCACAATTCAAGTGAAGGCGAGCGAACTGGAGGGCAAAGGACGCTTTTTGAAGGCTTATGTGAGCCCACCAAATCATTAGGGGACAAGCCCCAAGTGTTTGGTTTTCTTCATGAAAGCCAAAGACATGGTGCTTATGATGTGAATCAAGCGCAAACTGGGTGCCGGATATTCTCGGCTCCGTGCGGCTGATCCGAGCTTTCGGGGCCAAGTATTCATCCGAGGTTCATCACTTTTTCCATCAAAGGCTGTTTGATTGCAAGCGTCGTGACGCTCCTTTTGTTTGAATAGAGCGTAGATTTCAAAACACAAATCTTCTGCTAAAGCTTGGGGAAGGGCGACAATCCCTTTAAAAGATCTACCTGCGGTCTAAATGATTTACGGTTAATTTGAGGGGATTGTGCCGCAAACCATTTTCTATACTTTTAACGCTTTCTCACTTACAGTAAATCTCTGTGGTGTTTACGTAAGTCCTTGTGATTCTACTTGCAATTTGTTTGCTTCAAAAAGAATGGTGCGCTTGATTCACGTCACTGACAGATCAATGGCTTCATCTGGCAACCCTATCTTTTCATTTTATCATCGTTCAGGATTCAGCCCTCCGTTTTCTACATATGTAACACTGTATATAAACATAAAAAAAGTCAATGTATGAATGCAAATCAAATAAAAATTATGTTTTTTGAAATGACAATTTTGTGTTTAACTGTCTGCTGCATGTGCCTCATGCACAGATCTGCTCCACAAAATGGCAAGTGTATTTTGGCAGTTTGATGAAACGCCGCCTTTGTGGCATTTTCACTATATTCGGCGGCGCTTGGTTTGAGTCGCACCCCCTTTGCTCATCGCCGCGGCAACGAACGCCAGACTCCGCTAACCACATAGCCTTGACGTGCTAATCACCGCCCCTAAGATATACATTCCAATACAAAAGGAATTTCCGAACAATTGAGAAAATGAATACGACAAGCATGGGTGCACATAATCACGCTTGGTTGGCTTTTTGTCCTGCCGCTGAGTCATTTATCCACGCGGGTGTCGAATGCAAGATGGACATCCAAATGATCAGGGTGGCAGCGGGCCTGCTGACAGTGGGGAGCCATCTTGGCCTCACATCCATCGATGTGCCCTGCCCTCTGGGCTTGCAGCCAGCTGGACGGACTGGGGACAAGTGGTGAGAAATCAGTTCCAAAGTGGCATGTTAAGTGTTTTGATGAGGCGGGTGGGGTTCGTGGGGGTCAATTATTCAAAGGATTTGGTGCAGCTGTTAAGTCATTACTTGTGTAATCCTAGAAAATACAATCCTTTGTCAAATTGCGAACTAAAGTAGAGTTTTAACATCCCATAGTTAATTTCTGGAAGAGCACATCTCCTGGCCAGAGCTTGATTTAAGTACATACTCCCGAGGAAATTTAAAAAAAAAAAAAAGAAGAAAAACACAAGAAACACGCTCGTTAATTTGAAATGATACCTCAAGATTCCCCTCTTTGTTTCTTTATGGCCATGCTTGCATTCCTGCGACATGTTGACATCCAATTTTAATCCGTCTTTGTAATTAGCCAGGCACCACCAAAATAGAGGCAGAGTGGTTTAAAGAGGGAAAATCCAATCAAACATGCTTCTTATGCCGCAGTCGCTGATGGAGTGGACGCTGAGCGCATAGAAACAATTACCCTTTTCACACACACACACACACACACACACACACACACACACTGTCAAGTCTACACAAACAAGCATCCGAGCACATACTCGGTCAGACACACACACACACGCGCGCACACACACTGCTGACATCACAATGCTAATTAATGCACATATCTGTTCCCACACAGGACGTCCTCGGCTTTCATCCCACCCTCAATTAGATTGAACCCCCAACTGCTCTGTTAGTGTTTTGGATTAGGGGGAATTCTGAAGGAATTCAAGCGTTTGAAATCCTGCCTTGCCTTTGACCTACTGCATCAAGCGTTTGACAGCTATCTGGCTTTAAGAGGAAGAAATGTGTGTTTGGGTACCTTTGTGCACAGGGGTTTGTGTTAAACCATTCCTTCGACGTGAAGTTACGATGTGCCGTCGTGACCTTACGTCCCACTCCTTAACTCCTTTTCTTTTTCGACTCCACTGAGCGAGATATGGGTCAAACCAAGAGCAAAAGATTCTTCAAGTACTTCTTTGGCACAACCTTTTCAAAACTGACAGCAAAGAACTTGAGCGTGATGAATCACATTAAACAAAGATGAAATTTGATTTGTCTTTGTTGTGATTTAGGCACGAGTACAATAAAAAATTTTGAGCGAATTTTGTGCGGTTTGTTTTGTTGCGAACGTCAGACTTGCGATACAAAATGAATGCGTTGGAAATGCTTCCTTACCTCCCAAAAAATAATTAAAATAAAAAAGGGCGTTCCCGTTGATTGCACACAACAACACTGCCTCATAGCGGGCTAAGAAGGGATCTCAAAGTCATGATAAATCCACACCACATAAAAAACACGTGAACATCGCGAATGGATTTAGGGACCCGAAAACACGTGTGAAAATGACATATTTGTGGATATTAACACATTTTTTGTAATTTATTTCATCGTTTGTGAAAATCACAAATGTTTTCGAAAAACAATAGAAAAAAATCACGGATGCATTTGTGTGAATAGTTTTGAGACAAATCTCTCCCCAAATGTTTACTTCTGCTGTGGACAAAAGCCGTGGCGTGGAAAACATACAAAACAACATTCAAGTCAAATGCTCTCTCCTTTTGATTGACAGCTGAGTGCTCCTTGTGGGCGTGCTCGCCACTTGCCAACTCGATTGATAGTTTTTTTCCGATTACTTCCAGTGACTTAATGAGTAATAATTAACAAATTTGAGGACCAGCGTGTCGTTATTATCCTTCTAAATTGTCTCTCTATATATATATATATATATATATATATATATATATATTTACAGTTTGTTATGTTAATGTTAAAATTCCTCACTGAAACCGGGTTGTGTTCAGCGGAAAAACTTGCTCATTGAACCGGATGTAGTACCGTTCTTCTTCTTCTTGAGGATTAGATCTCCTTGGTCCATATCGCCCCCTACGGTCCAGGAAGCCACAAAGGCATTTGGCAAGCAATCAGAATCAAATTTACAATATTGGCCACGTCTGCAAAAACACAAAAGAAATTTCCTTTCGCAGTTACAACCCCTCAAGAGGAACATTTAACATAACAATGAGCAACATCGAGCGGAAAACTTGGCGGTTCACCAACATCTTAGATTTTATTCTCTGATATCTTCGATGTGAAAATTAAAATATTAGCTACAGACGTTATCTACATGAGATGAACAACAAAGGAACCCCGAGAGTTGTTTTTTCTTAGGTGGACTGTTTTTTTTTTAGGTGAAAGTTGAGAGCCACTTCAGTCGGAGGTTTGTCATTCTTATTCTGCATCATCACACCAGTAGATGGCGCCCTTACGTTTCGTTCAGGCCTTTTGCTGTGTTGGCTTTTTTTTTGTTTGTTTTTAAGCGTCATGTGACCGGAAGTAAAGCGTCAACACTAGTTAGCGATCGATTTTGACAATGATTCTCCCTGCTCTTAGCTGACATTGGGAAACGAAATCGGGTTTATTGTTTCCCTTTGACAATGGCGGGCCCTCTGCTGGAGTTTGAGACCGAAATGTTTCTCAGCCTGTTCAGCTGTGACGGGCTGCTAGTAGTGGCGGAGGGGATGGGAATAGACCGCATCCTGATGCAGTTCATGCGGGTGTACTCGGAACAAGGCAGCCTGGTTTTACTACTAAACACTACCACCCCCGAGCAGGTATTATATATTTTAAAATATATAACAATACCCGTTGTGATACCTTTTTGCACCTACGTTTTTTTATTTTTTCAGAAAATGTTGTAGTTCCAATTGTGCAGTATCTTGCATCGTGCTCACACTATACAACTTATAAAACCCGACAAAACAGCGAAAGGTGTTCCCAGACCTTTGCTATAACATTGTAGAGTGACTACTCCCTGTTTCATCCCTCATTCCTCTTTTTTTTCCAGACTTTATAAATCTCCAAGATGGAAATGATCAAAATCTCTTCTTGACTTAATCCTGACAAATTAAGGACTAGAAAGTACAGATATCTTGTGGGGAGTAAAAATAAAACAAAAATCCCCAGAAAAATAAATACACAAATAAAATACATTTACTTGAAAAATCTACTCAATTTTGGGATCAAAGTATTTTTAACCAACAAAGTATTTGTACTTTGTATCTTCTGACCTCTGTCAAACACGATGTGTTTTCACTTTTTAGGAATATTTCACGGAGCAGTTGCGAGTGGAGGGTGTGACCCACTTGCCGAGGACGGTGACCAGCGAGGTCCAAGGCACCGAGCGATACAACGTGTACACCGAGGGAGGGGTGCTGTTTGTCACCAGCAGGATCCTCGTGGTCGACTTTCTTACCGACCGCATACCTGCCCACCTTATATCAGGTGGTTTACTTAGTTTTGAGGCAAGTGAGTGTAAGCAGTGGAATGTAATTCGATTTTCTCTTTCCGATATCTCTTGTCAGGCATCCTGGTGTACCGTGCTCACAAAATAATCCAATCGTGTCAGGAAGCGTTCATCCTGCGACTTTTCCGACAGAAGAACAAGACCGGCTTCATTAAAGCCTTCACGGACAAAGCCGCAGCTTTTTCCACGGGTTTTTGCCAGGTGGAGCGTGTGATGAGGAACCTCTTTGTCAAGAAACTCTACCTTTGGCCCAGGTGAGTAGCTTATCTCACTAACATCTGCCTCTGAAGTCAGACAAAAATCCAGAAGGCAAACTTAGGTTTTGCATGACACATGTCACATCTCAGAAATGTAATATTTGATTTTTTAAAATCTTTTGCTCTCGATGCTTCGCTCAACAGGTTCCAAGCGTCAGTAAACACAGCCCTAGACAGACACAAGCCCGACGTGGTGGAGCTCCATGTGTCACTGACGCCTTTCATGAGGGCCATCCAGAGTTCCATCCTGGACATCATGGGCGCCTGTCTGAAGGAGCTGAAACGTTACAATCCCACCTTGGAGGCGGAGGATCTCTCGTTGGAGAACACCCTTAGCAATGCCTTCGATAAGGTGGATGCAATCTCTTTGACCTTCGGGCCATGTCAATTCACCATCCATCAATCATCTGATGCCACAGTGTATTTTTCCTGTTCTGCTTTGTCATCCAGACCATACGCCATTACCTGGACCCCTTGTGGCACCAGCTGGGATCAAAGACCAAGGCGCTGGTCCAGGACCTAAAGGTGCTGAGGGTTCTGCTGCTGTACCTGACCCAATACGACTGTGTCACATTCCTCAATCTGCTCGAGTCCCTCCGCTCCAGCCAAAAGAACTTCGGCTCCAACTCAGGTGACATGCTGGCCTCGTGTGTGCTGTGATTAACGGCAGCCATAAATGTCATTTCCATGCAATGTTCAATCACTAGCCCATTAGTGGCCGATCATAAATCACTTTTTTTACCCCCCTTTTTAGTAGCAATGATATTAATAATCGTTCACCTCAGGCTGGCTCTTCTTGGACTCCAGTACGTCCATGTTTGTGAACGCCAGGTCCAGAGTGTACCACATCCCGGAAAATAAGAAGAAACTTAAAGTTGGAGCCGAAGCAGAGAAAAAACAGATACCCTCCGTCTCAGGTGACATTGAAGAGAGCTCTGAAAATTCGAGTGGATGACAGTTGGATCTTAATTGATATGCGTGTGTGATTGTGTTTCAGAGGTGAAGCGAGTACTGGTGCTGGAGAAGAGCCCAAAGTGGGAGGCTCTGACCGAGGTCCTGCAGGAGATTGAGAAGGAGAACAAGAACTCTCAGAATGAACCAGGTTCGAATTGTCATCCTGAGGAACGTTCAACCGAATACACGACACCGATATAATTTCCGGGGCAGCACAGTGGACTTCCTACCCACTCATCAAGTGTGTCATCGACCTATTCATGGAAATGTGTCTTTGAGCTAGCTCCTGTGGACTCCCACTTTTTGGTGAATTCAGCCTGTTGTCGCTTTGTGCATACGCATTTGCAGTCTTGACTAGGCGGATGAACATCTCCTGCCTTGAAGGAAATCTCTGAGGCTCCAGAAGTGTTCACTAAAAGTCACTAGATTAGTTCCTCATCACTGGGAAAAACAAAAAAAGAAAAAGACTTGGAACCTCAAAACACATATGTCTGCTTGAAAACATCGGTGGGGGAACCGCTTTATTCTAACAATGTACATACAGGACTTCGTATTTTAATCTATCGAATCACACTATCGCGCTACTCCAAATCGCTTCCTTTTATCCGGATCTTCAGGTCGCGTGCTGATCTGCGCCAGCGATGACAGGACTTGCGCTCAACTGCAGCAGTACATCCGGCACGGCGCAGAACGGCTCCTGAACAGACTGTACGCCCGCACCATCGGCAAACAAAACCCATCCGCCGCCTCTGCTATTGAGTGGGCGAAACCTAAAAAAGACAAGGGTCTTCTCAAAGGCGGGTCCAAGGGAAAAGGCCGCGGGAAAGCGAGAGAGATGAAAAAAAAGACAACCAAGGCGAAAAGCGGACCCTCTCTGACCCTGACTCAGATGGTCGGCAAAGAGCAGACTTTTGAAACGGCGGTCATGGGCAGCAGTGAGGATGAGGATGACTTTGGCGACGAAGACAAGATGGTGGAGGAAGACGCTCTGAAGCTGGATTTGTCATCTGACGCTTACTATGCGGTTCTGAAGGAGCCCCTGATGGTCATTCACCCCCTGAGGGGCTGCACGGACCCTCACAGTCTAACACGGGTGCTCCACGAAGTGGAGCCCACGTTTGTGGTGCTTTATGACGCCGAAGTCAGCTTCGTGCGACAGCTGGAGCTCTACAAAGCCTGTCGACCCGGCAAGCCGCTCAGGTGCGTCTGCAGCTTATTACCTCTTCCAAGGAGGGCGTCTTCGTTTTTTTTTTTAAACGTGCAACATTCATGTTTACGGTTATTATTGTATCCAGGGCAAGACCTCTTATTTTTCATTCAGTCAATATTCAAAATGTTCACTTATGTTTGTATTTATGACCATAATGTATACAGTAGAATATACTTGCATTTAGTCTGCTGATTTAGTTTACTGATTGGCTGGCACTGAAGCCGTATAATCATGGTAAGTTTCAATGATTATTTCATGGATGCCATCTTCAACTGTATTATTTCAGCCTTTAAGAAAATAATACTTCTGAATAGTTTGTTTTTTTTTTTTTCCAGGATAAAATCGAACTGCACAGATAGCAGCAATTTATTGCAACTGATTTAAGATGTTCACTTATATTTGTAAAATCTCATCACATCAGGTTCCAATATGTCATGCTAATGTAATGTAAGGCTGGTATTACTAAGTGTTGCTTTTACCAGTAGCTTCGTTTCGCTTTTAAGATTCTAGTTCATTTTATTTGTTTCAAAAGTGATCAATGCTTTACTCATGGCTTTTCTCGCCTCGACAGGGTGTACTTCCTCATCTATGGCGGCTCAACAGAGGAGCAGAAATACCTGACCGGGCTGTCGAAGGAGAAGAAAGCCTTTGAGCATCTCATTAGGTCCGAATCGTCTCACTGGCGTGAACGAGCATTTACATTGGGTTGATTTGCATTTGCCCGAATTTGGTGTAAAATAGCCAACTAGTTGTTTTGTGACTGCAGGGAAAAGGCGACTATGGTCATCCCAGAGGAGAGGGAGGGCCGAGAAGACACCAATTTGGACCTTGTTAGAAATTTAGAGCCCGCTAATGCCACCACCAACACTCGCAAAGCTGGCAAGTTTTATTTTGGTTTACATTTGAGTCTAAGTTTACACAACAACAGCCGAGTAATGTCGGTAACAATGTTCTGACAGTGTGCTGTAAAAACGGTCATGTTACCGATGGTATTTGACTCATCCGATTTGTGTCTGTGTTCAAATAGGAGGCCAAGAGCAGCCCGAAGAGTCCTCGCGAGTCATCGTAGACATGCGTGAGTTCCGCAGCGAGCTCCCCTCGCTGCTCCACCGCCGCGGCCTCGACATCGAGCCCGTCACTTTGGAAGTCGGCGACTACATCCTGACGCCGGATATTTGTGTGGAGCGCAAGAGCGTCAGCGATCTGATTGGCTCGTTGCAGAGCGGTCGCCTCTACACCCAGTGCCTCGCCATGAACCGCTATTACAGGAAACCTGTTTTGCTCATCGAGTTTGACCCGGCGAAGCCTTTTTCACTCATGGCCCGCTCCGACTTCCGCCGCGAGATCTCGTGCAACGGCGTTTCTTCCAAACTCACCTTGCTCACGTTGCATTTCCCGCGTCTCCGCATCCTCTGGTGCCCGTCGCCGCACGCCACGGGCGAGCTTTTTCTGGAGCTGAAGAAAGGTCGAAAAGAACCGGACGCCGCAGCGGCTCAAGCAGTCACGGCCGAATCAGACACGGTGGCCGAATCGACAGAGCTCTACAATGCCGGGCCATACGACTTCTTGCTCAAGATGCCGGGAGTCAACACGAAAAATTTTCGAGCGCTCATAAGAAATGCTGACAGCTTGGCAGATCTCGCCAAACTGAGCCAGGACAAGCTCGCAGAAATACTCGAGAATGCCCATAATGCCAAATTGCTCTATGAGTTTTTGCACAATGTTGCAGATGTTCAAGCTCCAGCGCAGAGAAGCAAATAAGATCAATAGAGATTTTTTTTTAAAATAGATTTTTCAAAATAATGGAAAGTATTTTTGTGCAATTATATTGAATAAACCGAAGTATTCAGCTGTTGAATACATTTTAAAGCTCTTCAAAACCATGGGAAAAAATAAATATAGATTTTTTTTTTAACATTAGCTTTGTTTCATCTTTTATTGTAAATCTGGACAAAATTTACCATTGAGTGCAAAATACTTGTGTGTTTTGTATTTCCATCCATCTTTTTACGGCTTATCCTCATTCGGAAGAGCTGAAGCCGATCGCAGCTGACTTTGAGGAAGGCAGACTCTGGACTGGTTAACAATCAAACACAACGCGGCCGTACAGACTGATTGTGTAATTTTGAGCGGAATATTAAAAAGCAAAGTAATTTGGGCAAAAACTGCTTTTTTATTGAAAATTTACTCTGGATTTACACCAAGACAAGATATAAATCGTTGAACTATCATCTGAGACTGTAATCTTACACTGTGCCCGTGTTACTTGAAGAAAACAACTATTTATTTATTTAATGCAAACAGAGTAAATGCAAATGAGCTGGTTCGGTTTTCATATTTCCACGTGAGTCAGCTGTCACTATTACGTAACACGACAACACTGCCGTTATCACTTGGAGACGAGAGTGAGATATTCTGAACTTGCGTCCAGTGCTGACCCGCAAGGGAAACGTTGGCGACTCCCCACGACAACCGACGACCTCGTGCTCTTGCGACCACGCCCACGTCCCCACCCCCTTCCCGTCCGGCTGCGTCATGACGTCACCCTGCATCAGCACCCACGGAGCAGTCGCAGCCATTTTACTCGGCCAAATAAACTTCAGTCTCATTGCCGGAGGTGAGCAAAACATCACAGAGGACAAGCCTCTTATCACCAACGAATATATCACCATGACCGCCAAGTCGGATGCTTTGGACTTTCTGGTGTTGCCCATTTGGTAAGTTCCGTTCGCCATGGCGGCGTCTTGTTTTTAGCATGTTAGCTCGTTGGAACGCTAGCCCAAAATGCAAAGCGAGCGAGATACGCTCATCGAGACGGCCACGTAACTATTGCAAGGGTTTACACCTGAAAAGCGTTGATGCACAGTGAGCATCGGTTGTTGTTTTTCTTATCAGTGTTAAAAATGAGTAAGCAACGGCGGAGTGTTTAGTGTTTGATACTATGGGGAACTCACTCACCTGTCAGATTGAAAGTGTCTGCTGCGCCCCACACCCACCAACCTTCTCCTCCACTAAAACATCGTGACCAAAGCAATGTCATTCACAATATCACACGAATATCAGAAAGTTGTT